TAGTTTGGAGTGGATTCTTTAGGGTTTTTATGTACAATATCATGTCATCTGCAAATAGTGACAGTTTGACTTCTTCCTTGCCAATCTGGATGCTTTTTATTTCTTTGTGTTGTCTGATTGCTGTGGCTAGGACCTCCTGAACTATGTTGAATAAAAGTGGGGAGAGTGGGCATCCCTGTCTTGTTCCCGATCTTAGGGGAAAAGCTTTCAGCTTCTCACTGTTAAGTATAATGTTGGCTGTGGGTTTGTCATATATGGCCTTCATTATGTTGAGGTACTTGCCCTCTTATTGGTTGCTATACAATCTTATATTAGTTTCAAGTGTACAACCCAGTGGTCTCCCAGTTACCCACATCATTAAATCTTCACCCCAACTAGTGCAGTTACTATCTGTCAACATGGAAGGATGTTGTAGAAAAAAGTGGGCCGTTTTAAAAAGACATTTATATACAGCTTGGATATTGTAACCATGTGAAGTTCCTTGGGCATGGTAACAGTATTGTGATTATGGAGGAGATATCCTTGTTTTTAGGCAATAAAGACTAAAATATCAAATAATGTTGTAGTGCTGCAGTCTACTTTCAGATGGTTCAGCAGGAAAAAATATGAATGTGTCCATTCATCCATCCATCCACGCATATGTATACATATCCACACTTGCAAGTGCAGAGGGCCTGAGGAAGAAACTATTTGGCACATTTCCCAACATACAGCCTGTGAGGGGAGCCATGAAGGATGGGAATGTGGAGACAGATGAGCAGTAGGTCCTGAAGGATTTTGTCAAAGATGATAGATTTCTTATTTTCTTTTAAGGGTAATGAGAATCCTTTGAAGCAAGGAACTGACAAGATCAGGTTCACATTTTAAAATCTTGTTCTTCATCTCATTTCTTCCCATATACCCATGAAATGTCCCCAGGTCCCTGGAGCTGCCATAGCCACCCATGGAAAGGGTTTTGTTCTTTGTAGACACCTAGCTGTTCCCCCACCCATCTCTCTGGCAGACAAATACAGGGTGGTTTTGCTTCAGGGGAAGCAACCAGGAACCCGGGAGATGCCCTGTCAGCTCACCCACTCCCAAGAAGGTGACCATAGATCACGCCCAGGAAAGACAGCCGTGCCTGCATCAGGGAGATGTGGTCATGGGAGTTAGCCAGGCCTCTTGTGGACAGGGAAGAACAGTTCTTTCTGGAATTTATAGAGAGAGCTTAATGCAAGCAACAGCAAGTTCCTGGTAGAAACTGGTAGAAACGGACAAGTTCTCAGAATGGAGAATCCCCCAGAGAAGTAGGGGTTTGTTCCTTCCATTTTCCCCTGGGTCTTTGCATCTTTTCGCTGCTCTGTGTTTGCCTGATGGCATTTATCAGGGCCCTACTCTAGTACCCTTTCCTTCCTTCCCAAACTTACAGCCAAATCCCCTTTCTGTCCTTCTGGAGTGCAAAGCTGGAGAGAAACACAACTGGATAGATTGGCGCTATAGGAGGGAAACATGACTTGTCCCTTAGTGGCGTGCTGGAACTGGCCTTTACAGGCTCTTAAAGCCTATTGTGAGTGTCTCTTCTCAACTCTTCATTCAATGACATCATGTGGGTAAGTGGAAATTTGCCATGATGGGAATTATACATAACAGTAATCAGCAAATACTACAACTCAGGGTTTCCCCTCTAGAACCAGAGGGCTGATTGTTCAACCTCTTTGAGAATACTACTGTATATTCTATCTGGTCAAAACTCTTTTGCCTGCCCCTCTTTTTTCCTCCCATATTGAAGTTTCTCAGGACTTTTCTCCTGGGCTAATGGATTTAACCTTGTGAACAGGCTTAACCTGGAGCATGGTGATCATAAAAATGACCTTAGAAACTCAAGAAAATATTCCCTCTCACAAAACTATAGGAAATTAGGCCTATTTAAAATGAATTCTGATAGAGTTGTATTGAGAATATTCACAAAGAGCATCAATTTTACTCTACTGCCCAGTGGAAAGACTTATTAAAAGTATATAATCCTGTTTTGTTTTCAGATAACAAAGGAATCTTAAGATTCCTGGAGTTCAGAGATTGTTGTTATGTATTATGAGGTGCAATCTTTGGGACTTAAAAGTCCATAATTCTGATTGGTTGTCACTTAATAGTTTGATGCCCTGATAGATTTTTCCTAAATTCTCACTTTCCTGTGCTGTTCCCCTAGGCAGCTCTGGCAGATGATCTTTCCTCCTAGTTCATCAACCAACCAGGAAAGAATGAGGGGAAATGGTCAGATAGAGATCTGTACAGACAGATGTCTGGGAAATGGTGAGGTAAGAGCTGACTAGCTTAAAACCAAACACACTTCCACCCAACTGAAATGAGAACAATAAAACAAACAAACATAGCAAAGATCTCACCAGCAGTGCTGAAGCTAGGAATACCAAGAATTTTGATAAGTGTCATCGAGATGCAAAAATCTGGACTCTAAAACTGAGATGAGATTGTGTAATACAATGGGGTTCTTCTCGTGGAGTGTGGTAGTGGGTCAAAAGGGGGTCCCACAAAATTCTGACAAATTTGCTTGATCCTGCCTCCCAATGTACTCCACACCAAACCCATTACCAAGTCCTATGAATTCTGTTTCTACATATACCTGGAATCCTCCCAATCTCTGCATATCCATATTTTTAGTGTTTTTTTATATATATATAGGAAAGCTTATTTATGTGGATTATTTTTTGTTCATATGATAATTGAGCTCTTTCCAATTTAAATAACTCTTCCAGATTTCATAAGTTAAAAAAAATCATAGCATCTACAAATAATAATTTTGTCTTTTTCCCTTCAAAAAAAAAAGGGGGACAGACAAGAAGAAAACTAAAAAATGTTGACTCATAGCTATAAAGGAAATGAACATCATGTGCATCTATCTATATGTAAAGACTATTTTAAGGACATCAGAAGTTCCTAAATTATTTTACAGCTTTAGTAGAGTTACTAAATTTACTGATATTAAGCTTTATGTAAAATCTCAACAAGACTTTGTTTTTGTAACTTGCCAAAAGGTAATTAGAAAGAGCAAGTTGAGAAGAGCTAAGAAAATTTTAATTAAAAAACAGTTAAATGGGGGCCTAGAAGATTTTAAGATGTTTTGCAAAGCAATTATTCATTTGGCAATTTTAAAAGAATTCAAAGATCAGTGAAACAGAACAGAAAGGCCCTTAACAGACCCAGAATAAAATACTTTATTAATGTCAAAGGAGGTGTCCAAAATTGATGGGGAAGGTACAGATTACTCATCAGAACAGCATGGAATTCTGTGGGTAGCATGGCCTCTCTGGAAGAGGGTGACAATTCTTTGTGTGATTCACCTGGGGAAGTGGCAGGGCCTTATAGAGCAAACTGAACTTGAAATCTGAGGAACTTCACTCTCTCTCTGAATCTTCCTTTCTTGGCTTCAGGCCAGTCTTTGTCAGCATAAGAAGTGTCATCCTTTAAGGAAGTATAAAAGAAAAATGGTAATGGAAACATTGTTATAAACAATGCTAAACTGATTTTCTTAATACAGGACTTCTCAGAACTTTTAATATGCCCACAGTCACCATACATCTTCAAATAAGTCATATAGCATGGAATAGTCACCAAATTTATTTCGCCTTCAAACCCATTTTGTACATATTTCTGGACTAGTTTTTTATGCAGCATACTTTGGGAAAGCTAGATCACTCTTAATAGGAAAGGAGATTTCTTCATGGGTATATCACTCAAGGTTCATGATTGGAAATAACAAGCCCATGTCTGTATATTTTAAGCATACAAGGAATTTATTGGGAAGGCAATCACTTGTTCTCAGACAGTGTGAAGGCTTACAAATGGGGCAGGACCAAAAAAGGGTGGGCATGAGGGAAGACTCCCAGGATGTCTCCTGAAGAATCTCAGATATCTCCAAGACAGTGCATGATTGTCTCGATCACACAGCTGGTAACATCCGATAGTCTGAATCTGGGTAATATGTCTGAGATTCAGCTGTGAGGGAGTTGTGAAGAAGAAATGTCTGACCTCCTTTGACTTTTGTTTTGACTAGGAGTTAGTGTCCTGTCTACCAGAGAATTTGAGATTTCTCTGACTAAGAAGGTATTAATATCCTGGATAGGCAAGAAAAACGCAACTATTTCTACAGCCCAACACCCTTGTCCTTATACTGACACTTCCCAAAGCTGCTGTCACTTGGCCTAGTGCAGCTGTATCTTACCCACCTGAAACACACCCTCTTTCCAAGAGCAGACAACCCATTGTCCTTAAATTATTGCATCCGCTTCAAGTACAGGGTCACTCAGCAGTGGATCTTCCTTTTTAGTTCTGTCATGATTCCATCTGAATCATCTGAACAGTTATATCCAGTGATAAGTGAGAGGAAAAAGAAAGAAAAATGAACTTAAATAAAAAAATATAAGAATATATATGACACAGCAAGAAAGAAATACAAGTAGTAGCTTTAATTCTTGTTTCTGTTATGTTTCTGAGGCATATGATCTCCCTCCATAACTTGTATTGTTTTCCTTTTCCCTTTCGTCAGTACATCAACTGCCTAGTTCTTTACTTGGTGGGATAAATCAGACTTTCATTTCAAAGCTATCTGAGTCTGTTGGTCATTCTGTTTGTCAAGAATTCCAGAAGAATTCCAAACTTTACAAGTTCAACTAGAAGATTCTTCAGTGTGTCTGTTGTTGGGTTCCAGTCATAATCCCCCAGCTCCCTGTATTAGTCATCCATTGCTGCATAACAAATTGTACCCCAAAACTTAGTGACTTTAAACAACAAATATTTATTATCTCAGTTTTTAGGAGTCAGTAATCCAGTGTAGCTTAGTTAGGCACCTTTGACTCAAGGTCTCTCATGAGGTTGCATTCAAGCTGTTGGCTGGGGATGTGGTCTTATCTGAAGACTCAACTGGTTGGGGAGGGTCATGCTTCCAAGTTCACAAAGGCATGAACACTAGAGGCAGAGATCATTGGGGCCATGTGTTTCCATTCTCACTAATAGCCATTCTCCTGCCCCTGTCTCTAGTTTGTTGTCCACTCTGATTTCCTCTGGGCTTTGACTAGTGAGACTAGAGGGATTGGGATTACTGCTCCATGGAGAGGACTCTGGGCACTGCTGGGCATTTTAAAAGACCTGGTCTCTTTTCCACCCCATTGATTACACATCCATGGTTCACCTCCAGGCATAGGAGAGTCTTAACCAGAGAAGGGGGGAAAGTGACCAAACTGGTTTTTGCCCTCCACCCTTACCTAGTGAAGGTCCCAGAAACCCAGGAGCATAGTGACTGGGGAAACAGGACAATGAGCACGGACTTCCCTTCTTCTCGCCACTGCAGTGATTTGTGGTTTCTCAAGGTTGGCGCAAAGTTCCTGCTCTGTTTGGAAGAACTGGGATCTCATGAGTGTTTGGAGAACTGGCTGCTTTCCTGGCTGGAAGGCCTGCCTGGGGCATCTACCTTCTGCACTGACTTTTCTCTGCCCAGGTTGCCAGGGCAGGGGCCAGAAAGGACGCTTGGAGGAATGCGTGGGAGCGCTGCTCAGTCCGTACCTGCAGGTAAGTGGGGCCATAGTGAAACTGGCCTGTGACTCACTTGGGCCCTGCAAAGTGGGAAATGAAACTCCTCATGGCTGGGATTTGTGCAGCCACTGTCCGTGAAACCCCAGAGTGTCAACAGCCCAGGATTCTGGGTGCTCTTGCTCAGCTTCCTCATGCTGGAGCAGCCTTTTGCCCAGCTACTGGCAGAATATCTACTTGAGGCCCCCATCTCCCTCACTTGGAGTAAATGCCCACCCAGGCCTAGCCCCCTCTTACTCAGCGGGCCCCAGCTTGGGGTGGCTTCCGGATCCTTTCCTGGGCATGTGGGCATTCCATCAGTAACTCATGCTACAAACAAGCAGATATTGGGGAAGTAATTTTGGACAGAAAGGGAAGGAAACTGACAGAAGTCCATTTTTGACACTCCCAAGTTGTGTTGTGTGGCAGCTTCTCTCCCTCCAAGGCCCCGGGAGGAGAACAGGACCCCCAAAGGCCTCTTCTACCAGGGTCTTGAGTAACTTTTCCTCCACCCCCAGGCCCTGGACTATGATAGGTTGTAGATGTAGGGCCAAGAGCAGAAAGTAACTCTGGGGTTAGAGTGGGTATCAAGTGGCAGAGCCAGAAGCAGAATGCTGTAACTCCTCTGAACCCTGGTGGAACCAAGGCTCTGCAACTATACGCTGGTATAGTCCTAAGTGTCCAGGGACAGGCCGTGAGTTAGAGTGAGGCCTTCAGTTCGTGGAATTAGCTAATGTCAAAGCTTAGAACAGATAGCAGTCCTGAGAGTTACAGGTGGAATGTGGGTAGGGAGGAAATGAGGTAGGATGAATGGGGGACCATCCTTGTGACCCTGCATTTTCCCAGCACTTGGGCAGTATGGCGTGGGGTCCCCTCTAGGTTTCCTCATCCAGTCAGAGAAGTGGCTCCAGTCTTGGGCCTAGTCTGCCTAGAGGGAGCAGTAGGGGGCCTATAAGTAGCATGGACTGAGCAGGGAGGTAGGATCCTCTGAAATATCAAAGGCAGCAAGAGCCCCTGCAAGTATAGGCAGCTTTCTCACTGGCCCTGCTCATTTAGTTTCCATCCCTTGTCCCTGACACTACCCTGTCACCCAGATCCACTGGTTTAGACTCAGCAAGACTGGGCCAGCTTTCTGGTCCTGTGGCCAAGTTTTTATACATTGCTGGTACCATATAAATCACTTCTCTCATGCCTTTGCTATGGAAATGAATGAGAACTGCTGGAAAGAAGCAGTAGCTTCTAGAAGACAGATCCTAATCTACAGACTGTAGGCTTCAGAGTTGAAAAATGATCAGCCATCAACTGATCATTCATTTATCTTTCATCCATCCATCTATCGATCTTCCCTCCCTCCCTCTCTCCCTCCCTCCATCCATCCCATCCCATCCATCCATCCATCCATCCATCCATCCATCCATCCATCCATCCATCCATCCATCCATCCAGTTATCTGGACCAACTTCCTTTTCTGTTTCCCTCATTCTCTCCTTTCCTCTCATCCCTACCTTCCAAGAAGTATTTGTTTGGAATCTGTTAATGTACAAGGTTTCTCAGAGTTGGTGGATTTCAAGCTTTCATGAGCAGCTTCCCAAGAGAAAACAGTCCTTTACAGAGGCCCACACCAACCCCTCTCTGCCCTGAGCATCACACACATACGAAAGAACAGTTCCTGGTCGGATGTTGCTGAAACTGCCCCGGCCCTGCCCCCACCACCACTTTGAGAAGCTCACAAGTGCAGGAAGCTGGGAGGAGAACCCAAGTTTTACATTTACATTTTAACCCTGCAAGCCCCATTTTTATAGAGGGATGCTGTATCATTTAAGATGCCTTAGTAACAGAAAGTAGACTATTTGATTGCAGATTTCCTTACTGGTCTCGTTGCTTCCATGATTTCCACATCCTAATCTATGCTCCTTACCATGATTAGAGGGCTCTTTCCACAGTGTCCCTGTCTTTGTCTCTCTCTTGCCTGAAGTTCTTCACTGGCTCCATGTCACCCATATGCCTTTTGGATCTTCTTGATCTCATCATATTCTTCCTCTTTGGCCCCAAGCCCCACTGCCCCTCTGTCATATACTTTATGTCCCAATACCACCAAGCTAGTGACAGTTTGCCAGGGACTCTATGCTGTCTTATGCCTCCATCCTTTTGAGCATGCTAACATCTCTACCTGGAACTTTTTACTGTTACTCTTTTCTCTGTACTTCCTTTGAGCTATGCATATGCTTTTATTATGCTCCTTACCCTGTACTACAATTTATTTGCTCAGGTCTGTCTTTCCTACCAGACTATGAGTTGCTTCAGTGCCAGGACTGTGAGTTATTCATCTTTGTGGCCCAGTCCTCGTATAGTGCCTGGTACCTAAAAGGCACTCAATATGTATTTGTGGGATGAATGAGTGGGTGGGTGGATGATGGGTGAGCAGAGACTTATAGTCTTGGGAATCAATGGTTAAAATGCCCATGTAACAGACCCCCAGAGAAGACTACAGATGGCCTCTTCCTGAATGAAGAGAGGACTGAGCTGTGGCCTAGGCCTCCCAAGTTGTCTAAGCCAGGAATGGGGACCTTTGGGATGACATGACGACCTCCTACAGAACTCACTTCCCGTTTCCTCTAGATTAGAGGTCCCTGGGGAGACAGCCAGCTGAAAGCACCTGGGCCGCAGGGGGAGCATGCAGGACGAAGGCTACAGAGCGAGGCCCCTGATGTGCACTTCTCTGTAGATAGCAGAACATCTCCCTCTGGCCCCGAGGCAAATGCTGGTCACTGCTTGGGACCCACCCAGGGCTCTGTGCTCAGGATCCACTCAGTGCTCTGTACTCAGCTGTTTGCTAGCCCTTCAACATTGTCTTCTCTTCCAGCAGAGCCTCCTGCCAACACGGGTCCATCTCTGGTTCTGAGGGAACCATCCACGGTCCGTGCTGCAGGAATCTTCCTGATACTGGTCCTGGTCGCCTCCATCTTGCTGCAGGCCATTCTCTGTAGGTCTTCAGGTTTTATTGCCTGCTTGGTCCTTCTCCAAGGCCAGTCACCTCCCTCAACATCCAGACCCTCTCTTTACCACTCTCCAGGGGTCTCCTGCCTGTAGCGTTTGCATTTGCTTCATTTCTCCTCTTTCCACCAGGAGTCACAGGGTTTCCCATTCCCAGTAAGATGAGCTGCCACTCTTTGCCTCCCCATTCCAAGCAGATTTTCCTGACTGGGATGAGCACTCACATGCTTGTGCTAAAGGGTATTCTCTTCTGTTCCCAGGTAACGTCCACTCATTTCTGCATGCTGTGTCACTTTCTCCCCCCTCTCAGCTCCGTGTCCCTTTGATTCAGATCCTTGTGGGCAGCCCCCAACAGTGAGCAAAGAGCTGGAGTCCCAACTTATCCTTAGCCCCAATTAGATGGAGAACCTGGCTGGTAGGCAACAAATCTCCATGGTTCATCTCATCACCAGGACCCCTTCCTGTTCTTTCCATCCTCCTGCTCCCGAGGAGACCGTATCAAGGGAGCCGTCCTGCTGGCTCACTGGATATGTGACTTATCTTTCCTCCTTTCCTTGCTTTGTCCAGCCTCATGGCCTGTGCTGCTAGCAGAGCCTTATCCCTACCAGCAGGTCTCCAGAAAGCAGACAGAACATCTGCCTTTATCCAAGGCCCAGGACATATTCAGGCTCAGACTTGGAGCCTCTGCTGTGAGCCCTCTTGGTTTATTTTTGGTCTCCTATATGGCACCCAAGCCTGTAACTTAAACAAAGTGTGACAGTGGTTTGGAAAAGTGGAGGGGAAAGTGGATTCGTAATTCTCCATTTCAGTATTCTCTGGGAAAGAAGTCACTTCCAGATTAGAAATCTGCCTGGCTAGCCCCTCCCATGGCCATGGTGAGGGGCATGCGGGCAGATGTGGGAGGACGTTGCCTTAGCTGATGGCCATTGGAGGAGTCTCTTAAAGGACTGGGTCCTAATCCCTGATTCTGCTTCCTGTGAGGTCCTCTAACAGAGAGCCTGTATTTTATTTATCTTTGCATCATCTGCATCTACAAGGGTTCCTGGCACATGTGAAGTGCCGAAGAGCCCATGTTTGTTGAATGAATAGCACTATGAGTGAATGGAGCAGAGGGTCCTTGAGAAGCTTGAGCCTATCCCTGCCCTTCCTTCATCATTGGGACAACACCCTGACTCCTGACCTGGGGATCCCTTTGACTGACCTTTTGACTTTTTCTGATCCAGATCCCTGGTTTATGGGCACAATATCAGATGTAAAGACCAGTGCCCAGCTGCTGAAAGGTTGTGTGGACAACATCAGCACCCTGGGTTCTGAAATTAAGAGGAATACAGGTGGTGTGGAGGTGTACCTGGCATTCAGGTCCAGATGGTGAATACCAGCCTGAATCATGTGCATTCTTAGATCCGGAGGTTGGAAACTGGCATGCAGGAAGCCAGTGCCCAGATCCAGATGTTAACAAGAAGTTGGGAGGAATTCAGTGATTTAAACACCCAAATCTCCAAGTTAAAAAGAGATGTGGATAAAGCCAGTGCTTTAAATGCAAAGGTCCGGGGGCTCCAGAGCAGCCTGGAGAATATCAGCAAGTTGCTCACACAGCAAAGTAAGTGATTCAGGAAAGAATGTTGCCAGCCAGTGGCCCATGGGGCCATTGGGCTGATGTATGTGGTGGGAAGGGGTAGAGGAGCAGGGCAGGCATGGCTGGAAAGTTAACAACAGAGTACTCAGCACTGGGCTGGGGATGTGCTTAGGGGCTGTTCAGGAGAGAAGGGACCAGGGACCAGCCTGGGCTCCCACACCATGGCACAGAGTGGGAAGGTGTCAGGCACTCTCTCTGCCCTGGCCCAAACTTGGCCATTTTCATTAAGTTCCTTCCCTAGAGCCCAGGGACTCAGCCACTTGTGATGATCAATGGAGACTTGCTTCTTCCTCATGGGAGAGATGGATTCGTAATCCATCCTCTCATTCTCCTCTCTCTGAACCCAGAGACCCTACCATTGTCAGTCAGGCTCTCAGGATCTGAGAGAATGTCCCCAAGTTCCAAGGACCCCAGGACCCAACCCCAGTCTCCACTGTCTCTGAGAACCCCCTCAAACACCCTCTTCGGTCAGCACCCAGAGCACACAGGAGCGACAAGCTTCCTGCTCATCCTTGTTTTCCAGATGACATTCTACAAATGGTTTCTCAAGGCTCAAAGTACTTCAATGGGAACTTCTATTACTTTTTTCAAATACCAAAGACCTGGTACAGTGCGCAGCAGTTCTGCATGTCCAGAGATTCACACCTGACTTCAGTGACCTCAGAGAGTGACAGGTGAGTGCTGTCCCTGTGGGCTCTAAGAAGGGCTGTCTTAGTAGCTCTATCAGGTAGGATGGGCAAAGATACCCCAAGTTCCCAAATATCAGTGGCCTTACAGTGAAGGATTGCATCCGTTTACACTGCACGTTCAATAAGGGCTGGCAAAGAGTTTTCTGCTTACCGTGGTTATGCAAGGACCTCACCAAAGGGGACTTCATCTCAGCATGTTCTCCCAGTTATTGAGGCAGTGAAAGGGAACTTGGCAAATTGTGTGTTGGCTCTTAAAGCTTATACCTAGAAACAATAGACGTCACTTCTGCTCACATTTTTCATTGGCCAAAGCAAATGCCGCAGAACTCCTGGCTTCAAAGAGGGCAAGGAGGGACAGTCTCTTCATGTGCCCAGAAAACAGATGTGTTTGTGAGTAGCATTAGTGACACTACATAATCCAAGTAGGCTTCTACCTGGTGAGGCAGAATATTGAATAATCCCCTTCCTCTGGGATGTGGCTAGCAGAACAGGTGAGAGCATGGGCTGGGGAATCAGAGACCAGAGTCCCAGCCATGCCTGTAACTACTCTTGGAGCCCTGGGAGTTTATTTAAGTTCACCAGGCCTCAGCCTATTAGTCCATAGGTAATAGCTCTTACCTCAGAGAATAAGTAAGTGAATGCACATAAATGCAGAGTGCCTCACACATATTAAGCGCTCACTAAGTTTAGCTTTTATTATCTGGGCCATTCTCCTGGGGTCTTTGTTCTGGGGGTTAGCTGAGCCTTTCTTGTACCCCAGCAGCTGCTTCCTGAGGGGCAGAAAGGCCTGGGTGTTGAGTCTGTTAGTTGTAGGCCAAAGACACATCAGAATTTGGAAGGGGGACTCTAGGCTCTGGACAGGGACAAGAGGCTTGGGAGAGGTCAGAGTGTGTGGTGTGTCTGTGGGGCTGTCACTGAGGACAGGTGAGGAACACCCAGAGAGCTGTGGCAACTCCAAGTTGTGGCAGTGTCCCTGTTCACCCTCCTTTCCTACAGGAGTATCTGTACAAGACAGCTGGTGGGCTTTCCCACTGGATCAGCCTGACCAAAGCAGGGCATGAGGGGGACAGTATTCTAAAATCCATCAATATCATCCACCACATCAACAAAAAGAAGGACAAAAACCACATGATCATCTCCATAGACGCTGAAAAAGCATTCTACAAAATTCAACATCCATTCATGATAAAAACTCTCAAAAAAATGGGTATTGAGGGCAAGTAACTCAACATAATAAAGGCCATATATGACAAACCCACAGCCAACATCATACTGAACAGCGAGAAGCTGAAAGCTTTTCCTCAAAGATCTAGAACAAGACAGGGATGCCCACTCTCCCCACTGTTATTCAACATAGTACTGGAGGTCCTAGCCACAGCAATCAGACAAAACAAAGAAATACAAGGCATCCAGATTGGTAAAGAAGAAGTCAAACTGTCACTATTTGCAGATGACATGATATTGTACATAAAAAACCCTAAAGACTCCACTCCAAAACTACTAGAACAAGTATCTGAATTCAGCAAAGTTGCAGGATACAAAATTAATACACAAATCTGTTGCTTTCCTATATACTAACAATGAACTAGCAGAAAGAGAAATCAGGAAAACAATTCCATTCATAATTGCATCAAAAAGAATAAAATACCTAGGAATAAATCTAACCAAGGAAGTGAAAGACCTATACCCTGAAAACTACAAGACACTCCTAAGAGAAATTAAAGAGGACATTAACAAATAGAAACTCATCCCATGCTCTTGGCTAGGAAGAATTAATATTGTCAAAATGGCCATCCTGCCTAAAGCAATCTACAGATTCAATGCAATCCCCATCAAAATACCAACAGCATTCTTCAGTGAACTGGAACAGATAGTTTTAAAATTCATATGGAACCACAAAAGACTCCGAATAGCCAAAGCAATCCTGAGAAGGAAGAATAAAGCAGGGGGATCTTGCTTCCCAACTTCAAGCTCTACTACAAAGCCACAGTAATTAAGACAATTTGGTACTGGCACAAGAACAGACCCACAGACCACTGGAACAGAATAGAGAGTCCAGATATTAACTCAAACATATATGATCAATTAATATATGACAAAGGAGCCATGGACATACAATGGGGAAATTACAGCCTCTTCAACAACTGGTTTTGGCAAAACTGGACAGCTACATGTAAGAGAATGAAACTGGATCACTGTCTAACCCCATACACAAAAGTAAATTTGAAATGGATCAAAGACCTGAATGTAAGTCATGAAACCATAAAACTCTTAGAAAAAAACATAGGCAAAAATCTCTTGGACATAAACATGAGTGACTTCTTCATGAACATATCTCCCCGGGCAAGGGAAACAAAAGCAAAAATGAACAAGTGGGACTATATCAAGCTGAAAAGCTTCTGTACAGCAAAGGACACCATCAATAGAACAAAAAGGTACCCTACAGTATGGGAGAATATATTCATAAATGATAGATCTGATAAAGGGTTGACATCCAAATTATATAAAGAGCTCATGCACCTCAACAAACAAAAAGCAAATAATCCAATTAAAAAATGGGCAGAGGAGCTGAACAGACAGTTCTCCAAAGAAGAAATTCAGATGGCCAACAGACACATGAAAGGATGCTCCACATCACTAGTCATCAGAGAAATGCAAATTAAAACCACAATGAGATATCACCTCACACCAGTAAGGACTGCCACCATCCAAAAGACAAACAACAACAAATGTTGGCGAGGTTGTGGAGAAAGGGGAACCCTCCTACACTGCTGGTGGAAATGTAAATTAGTTCAAACATTGTGGAAAGCAGTATGGAGGTTCCTCAAAAAACTAAAAATAGAAATACCATTTGACCCAGGAATTCCACTCATAGGAATTTACCCTAAGAACGCAGCAGCCCAGTTTGAAAAAGACATATGCACCCCTATGTTTATCACAGCACTGTTTACAATAGTCAAGAAATGGAAACAATGTAAGTGTCCATCTGTAGATGAATGGATAAACAACATGGATGGAGCTAGAGGGTATTATGCTCAGTGAAATAAGCTAGGCGGAGAAAGACCAGTATCAAATGATTTCACTCATCTATGGAGTATAAGAACAAAGAAAAAAACTGAAGGAGCAAAACAGCAGCAGACTCACAGACCCAAGAATGGACTAACAGTTACCAAAGGTAAAGGGACTGGGGAGGATGGGTGGGAAGGGAGGGATAATGGGGGGGAAAGAAAGGGGGCATTATGATTAGCATGTATAATATGGGGGGTGGGGGCATGGGGAGGGCTGTACAACACAGAGAAGACAAGTAGTGATTCTACAGCATCTTGCTGCACTGATGGGCAGTGACTGTAGTGGGGTATGTGGGACTGACTTACTGATGGGGGTGTCTAGTAGATATAATGTTCCTCATGTAATTGTAGATTAATGATACAAAAAAAAAGTAAGACTTACTTAGTATGATGGCATATTTATCAGGAACCAACAAACACCAAAAGACAAACTGGGAAAAATATTAACATTGAATCTAAAAAGCACTATCTAATCATCTATATGGGCTAGAAACTTGGAAGTCACCATCACTATCAGCCATTTCTTCCTTATCCCCCTGCTCAACCCACCACCAAGTTGTAACAAGGGTATTACCTAAGTATCTCTAGAGTATGTTCACAGCTTTACACAAAAATGACCATGCCACACCCAAGCCACCATTATGCCTCTTGTACAAAAATCTCCTAACTTATCTCATTGCTTCCACTTTTTCCCCTATAATGTATTCTCCACTTGGTGGCAAAATGATAGGTTGAAAATGGAAATTTGATCATGCTCCACACACTCACCTTCAACCCTGTTGAACAAAAAAGTTCAACAGTTCTCTGCTACTCATAAGACAAAGTCTAAAACCTTAAAGAGAGGCCTGCATGACCTAGCTCCATACTTCCAGCTCCATTTAACGCCTTACTCCCTCCAGGCCCAGACCCCAGGCCAGTCCCTCCAACACAGCACATGCTTTCCTGTTGTCAGTATTTGCTATTCCTTTGACCTAGAATTCTCCCCCCAATGTCCCTACCTGGTTAATACCTATTTATCCTTCAGGTATCAACTCAATCATCTGTATGGAAACCTCTAATCTCTGTGATGAGGCCAAATCCTCCCTAGTAACGTGCTCTCACAGTACCATGTCCTGTCCATCCTGGCACTTGTTCGGGTTGTAATTCTACAGGCAACTATGTGATTCTAGAGTATCTAGTCCCTCTCTAGACTGGTAGGATTCAGAGAAGGCTGGTCAAGTCTCTCTGCCCACAAAGTCTCACAAGTCTTTTTGCCAGCACCCAGCACAGTGCTTACACATAGAAGGTGCCTAATAAATATTTTCTGAATGAACATAAATTGGCACAGTGCAGCAACATCCACAAAAACACAAGGGTTGCTCTGATTCAGAAATTCCATTCTGAGTGAAATTGTCTCTGAGAAGATAGTATATATGTATTCAAAGATGTTCATACAGGAATATTCATTACTTCAATATTTTATAATATCAACAACTTATGACTTTCTTATGGTCATCAGTAAGCGAAGGAGCAATGCAACCTTAAAAAAGAATGAGGTCTCCAAAGACTTTTATATGAAGACATCTGCCATACACTAAATTATAAAACAGGATGTCTAAATATTATACCATTAACCTGAAATTAGTATGTCAACTATACTTCAATGAAAAATTTTTAAATAAAAATAAAAAATAAAATCCCTTCTCAAAATAAATAAGTAAATAAATATAATACCATTAAAATACATGTATATGCTTATGTCTGCATTTTTAAAGTGTGAAAAAACAGGTTAAACGATGGCCGGTGGTATCTCTGGGTGGGGGTAGGACTGCTTTCTCCTTCATAAGCTTCTATGCTGATTTTCTGCAACCAGCCTCCATTACTATTGTAAGCCAAACAACTGGAACAGGGTCTGCCTCTCGAGGTTGGCAACTCACCTGCAGATGAGGTAGCCAGGCCTGTTTACACCATGGGTACAGTGGACGCCAATAAGTTTGTCTGTAAAACGGAATAGAGTTAAAGTCATGTTGACACACTACCAACAAGTGATGCGCCTTTCTGGAGAGTGACATTTCTTAGTCACACAACACTACCACTACCCTGAAAAGGAGTAACTCTGAAGAGGAATGTGGTTTTGTGTTTAGGAACATACTATAAAGAATTATCTAATACCAAGTCAAAATTCACTGTCTCTGGGAAACTGTGAAGAGCCCCCAGTTAGACACAGGGTATAGACAGGAGAAGGCCTGGTCAGGTCTGAACAGCTAAACCATATTGAGATAAACCCATCTGTCTTCCTAGAGAGTACCCCTCAGTCATTGATTTAAGTACAGGAAAAGGGAGTGGAAACAAAATCAAAACAGGCTAGAAGAAGAATAAAATTTGGTTTGGAGTGACACAAATGGGAGGATCACTTTTGATGCTGAGTTATTAAAAAGAACAGCTCCCATGGCACTCCCTTCAAGGCCCCAAGGTGCTTCTGCTCCTCCTCTCACTGTCAGATCCCCGCACACCACAGGCCCCTGCACCCCGTCAAGTACCCAGATGAACAGCTCTGCTCCTGTTTTATGATGAAAAAGCAAGACTTGGAAATATGTAAGTCTAAGCTACCCAGCAGGCAAACAGAACAAAGTCTAGACTCAAGTCTAAGATTTCTCCAAGTATGCCACGGTATTTCTTAGTCCAACATTTAAAAACATTATATAGAAATTAAATTTTAAAACTGTAGTTTTTTATTTACACCTGCAAAGTGTAGGTCTGTGACTAGCTGGTGTATCGTAAGAAAGGACTTGTTTTTTCCTGTCTGGATTACTACCTCCCTATTTCTAATCGCTACTATTTCAATTGCTCCTCCATATGGAAGACGGTCTCTTTCCTAAATGTAAACTTGGTTGGGTTACTCCATTGCTTAAAAATCTTCATTTAGCATACAGTAATGCCCACACTCTGAGCACAGCATTTAGAACTCTTTATAAAGATATCAATCTGTGTCTCCAACTGACCTGTAATTCCACAATGATCCAAACTATGGCTTACAAGGACCCGCATGACCCACCTCCCTCCTGCCCCCTGCCAGCCTCTCTGATCCCATTTACTACTGCTCTAAACTCAGTGCTCCCTCCCTACTCCAGCCACACCGACTTCCTTACTAGTCCTCAAACATGCTGAGCATAGTTGTGCTTGTACTTTAGGACACTTTTCCACCACCCCTCTAATACCCAGTGGCTTGGTTCCTCATTACCTTTTAGGCTGGGCTCAAACAACATCTTCATACGCCTTCCCTGACCACCCAGCACACTCCCTCCCCTCTCCATCCTGTTTGGTGCTCTCCAAAGCACTTATCGTCATGACATTCCATGTACTCTCTTCATTCTCTCTCCCCGGCTAGAATGCAGAGGATGGAGGAGCAAGAACTGTCCTCTGCTCCTACTTCCCAGAACAGTGCCTTCAACTTAGCAGGTATCACATAAATATTTGTTGGAAGTGAACATACGAATTCCTCACCCTTTCACACTACCCCCTCACCCAGCAGAGGCTGCCTCTCCATGGCACATGTCCAAGCTCTGTGCCTTTTGTACATTTCCTGATACCTGGGCTGTCCTTTCCTCATTTTAGTGAAATCCTCTCACCACCTAGCCCAGATGCTGTCTCCTCGTGAGGCCTTCCTCAATCTCTCCTCTATCTCTCCCGTTGCACTTAATTCTTTTATTATAATTAACCCACTGTCTTACAGTTGCTACATGTTTAATGTCCTAGATAACTATACATTTCTACTGAACAAAATCTTATTCACACTGTATTCCCATATCCTAACAATAAAACTAAGAGACACTCAGCATTTACTGAATCGATTTATTTTCTGAGTCTCTACCAGTTCTAGGAGGTGGAAAATGCCTTGTCCTCTTCATCTGGGAGCTGGTGTCTGTGGAGGGGCCTATCACAGAGGTGGCCAGAATGGATGATAAGCAAGGCCCCGAGACCGCTACGGCAGAGCCCCGTCAAGTTAGCACCATGGGGGCAGATGACCAACACGGGGCCAGCCTGTGCAACGACTACACCCGAGAGGGACCGAGATTTACCAATGTGCCCTCGGGCACTCTCAAGGACCTTTAGCCCTCATGGAACAGACGGGATGCCGTATGGTAGATCTAGGGAAAGGAGCCTGAAGGAGCGAGCAAGCTGGCAGTGGCTCCCTAACATCTTAAGAGGTGATGTTTCTGTAACTACAATTTACACAAATTAGAAAATTTACCTCCTCTATAGATGCCCTGCTCAAGGCTCAGCCTCCCAAGTTCTAAAGTCAAAGTGGAGGGAAGATATGTGAATGGGGCTTATGATATTTAAGAGCCAGTGCCCGCATTAAACGACAAGGTTGTAGTTTAAAAGTTAATCTTAAAACTCTTGCCTCTCTCTCTCATCCCCTAACTTCCCACTGCCTTCTCCCTGTTGATATGTGTGTGTGTATATACACACACACACACACACATATGCAATATTACTGTCTGTCCAGCTCAACAGTGTATATTTCTCAAGCTATATTTAGAAAGATGGCAAAATGAACACTTCACACTGTGGGCCAGTCACTTTCCAAAGACAAGAGACCTCAGTTTCAAAATATGACAAATACAATATTCTTGCTGATAGTGAGATGCCAGAAAAAGGCATATGGATCCTTAAAATTCAGAAGCTATTAAGATCTATTTTCAACAGAGTAAGGTAGACTTTAAAGCAGGAACAAGAAAACACTGGCCTTTTTAAGTTCTTTCTGTCTGCAGAATGACAGTAAGAGGTGGCAGTGCCCTTCCCCACTTGAACTCAAAGTGGAAAAATAGCAGGAATATCTTAAATACATATGATGAGGAAGCCACTCCACTGGTCCATTTTTTTCACTTCTAGGGCTCTGTCTCACTCCAAACCTTTGCCTTTTGTTGTCTCTTTTATATACTCTAAGACCCTGAGATTCTTTATCTTTTCCTTTATGTCCCACCTCTTAACCAATATATAAAAGAACGTTTTTATATTTCCCATTCAAATTTTTAAAAAATAGGTGAATAAGCTAGTTCAGTTCATATCTCTCACTAAAATCACTTTCCAAACTAACTTTGTGGCCATAAGAAGAAGTAACACCTCACTCTATTAGCATCTGACCTCTGACATTTCCACTTTAATAATATTAAACACAATAGGCCCAATGGCAAAACTATTAAAAATATTAAAAACTCCCAACCCCATTCAAAATGCATACTGAAGTTCAGGTAAGAAAAAAAAAAACCCTCACCATTATCTTTATTTTCTTTCAAAAACCCATTAACACCATATTTGAATTTAAAAATAGTGTCATCATCAGGTACCTGATGCCCAATCGTATACATTTTTAAGTAAGGAACAGTTTCTGGTAAGCCCTGTAATGCAAAATAATGAAAATGTGTATTATTTCATTTGTCAGGAAAGAATTAAAAATGAATTAGACGAGCCAGAATAAAACCAAGAGAGTATAATAAACTTGGCATGTCAGTAATTCTGCTAAAAGAGCCAGTTTTCCCCCTAAAGCTGCTTCAATCTGGAAGTATCACTTGCTTTTCATTAAAACTGCAGGATGGATAGTCAATAGGCATCTGCAAGCAAAGTTCATGTGAATGAATGTATATGTAACTAAAAATTACATAAATAGTTCTATCTAATATTTTACATTTTAGGGGCCACAAAGCAGCTGTGATTTAAGTAGAACAGAGTCGGAGAAGAACTTGGATTTGAATTGTGAGACAAAGTGAATTTCAGACACTGTTCAGAGAAATGGTATTCTTGGCTTGGGAGAAAGTAGGTACTGATAAAAGACAGAAGAGCTTAACTGAAAATCCTGTTGTTCTGAACTTAAATGGAAAGTATCAATGTGAACTTTTGATGTATTTTATTTTTAAAGCAAACATAGAAACACATTTCCTAGCTCTGACCCAGCTCTGATAAAAAAGGACTCAGGAGCCAAACTGAGAAGCTCCAACTGGCCAAAGACGGGGCCTCAGTTAAGAATAGTAACTACAATGGAGTCCACAGTGATACAAATAAATAAACAAAATAAAATCTCATTGGTCACCACTAGAGGATACTAGTGAATCAACTCATTATTTTGAAAACTGTTAAATAAAAGGAAAGAATCATGACACTACATCTGGGCAACCAAATAGATAATGAGGGGCAACTTCTCTTGATAGAAATATACCCAGCTAATAAATGAAGAAAACAACAACAGAATTCACCATTTCTCGAAGCCCCGAACAAATTTATGGATGTAGCTATCAATCATCCATGACTGCTAATATCAGAGAAAGACAATCACTAGGAGATATTAGTACTACTACCTCATCAGCAAAGGACTGTTACGAGGATCTACTAAATCAGTGTTTTTGCAAGTAGTTTTTACATGGCAAACTGCTACGCAAATACTAACAAACGTTAGGTGTCATTGTCTCCCAAGGCCATGCAACTGTCAGAAGGAAAATTCTTTCCCACTGATATGCTACATGGGCCAACAGATCATATGGGTTTCTTTATCAGTAGCAAAAGGTATTAGGAACAGAGAGCATGCAGCTGAGAGAACTGTCTTTTCCTCTGATGCTCACACATGCTCAGGCAACTGCTTAACGTAAGTGCTAGGGACATACGAGGTATTCCTTTCTATTAGACTACTACTATTCTTACTACAAGTTTACTTCATTTTCAAAACATAGAACACGAAAGCTTACAGCATTTCTTAAGCACATACAAAGCTTACTGCCAAATATGTAATTAAGGAAACCATTTGGTTACTTTTTTGAACTACTACCCATGAAAGAAGGCCTGGATTCACTTTAATGTAAGATGATAACTACTGAATGACTATGAACTAATACAGTATCTGAAAGGTTCTTTTCAATTAAGGGTTTCACTTACCTCTGGCTTATAATAGCGGTGAGTATATGTTAAATCAATAATCAGTCCAAGTTCTTCATTCTGTTCTTGGACTTTGTTAAAAAGATCCAAGGGAGAAAAGCATTCTTCTGGAGCAAGATTGTCTTCAAAACTCTGGCAGAGAGAATGAGGTAAGAAAGAGCAGATGGGTGCTTAATATCCTTTATTTTATTACCCATTTATTCAAGCCCCGTGATGCTAACAATGAGATGCAAAGGAAAATTTCCACTCTTCTGGAAGTTACAAACTATTGTATAATGCTTTCTTTCAGAAAGATGAGAGGAAGAAAATAAGCTCACTTCTATAATTTATTTCTGTGTTTATTTGTTTCATGTTGGTCTCCCAGCCAGACAGTAAACTCCCAAAGGACCACATCAGTTTTGTCCCACACTGCATCTCCAGCTCCAAGGGGAGTGCCTATAAATATGCACTTACAAATACTTCTAGAGTATTTATATATGTGAAGGGTGGATTTTATTGCTAAACAATTTTTTATGTATTTGGCTTACTTATGTACTCTTTTCCATACTGATATGTTTGGTTATTCAAGTGACAGCAACATACTTTTTTATCAATTAACAGACTAGTTTTTAGAGCAGTTTCAGGTTCACAGAAAAACTGAGTGGAAAGCACAGAGAGCTCCCAATTATACCCTCTCTCCTTCACCCGACAAAGACTTACCATCAATATTCCAGAACAGTGTGGTCTGTTTGTTAGAACCAATGAACCAGCACTGATCTATCATTATCAACTGAAGTCCCTAGTTTATGTTATGAGTCACTCAACATACTGTACATTCTATGGGTTTTGACCAATGTATAATGACAAGTATTTACCTTACAGTGACATACAGAATAGTTTCACTGCCCTAAAAAGCACCTATGGTCCAGCAACACTTTAATATAGATTAATATCTGTTACGGCTAGATGCCCCCCTTCCACCATTATTCTTCTCTTTCAAAAATTTCCTGGCTACTTAAGTCTATTCTTCAATATGAATTTTAGAATCAGCCTATTTGAGATGATGATAAATTTACAATTAACGCAAGAAGATTTGACAGATTTATGGTGTTGAGTCTTCTTCATAATATTGTAAAAGTTTTGAAGAGTATATTACATAAAGGCATATACTCTCTCCAGTTTCTCGCAAAGTTGGAGCTGATGGATCAAATACCACCTTCAGCTATCTGAACAATGACTAATTTCAGATAACTAATTTATGTTAACCCTTTAGGAAGCCTTCCTTGATTAACCCTACTATGGTTTTCCCCTCCTTTGAATTCCCAGGTATTTCTCGCCATGGCAAATATTTGACATTTAACATATTCTCCTTTGTATTCCAGTGTGCTTGAGGAGAGACTGGCAAGTACTGAGGCTGCTTTTCTTAGGTGACTTCCATAAATCACACAGGAGACCAATGTTACATTTCCCTGCCACACAGAGATATTTCATCTTCCTAACTCTACTGTATGAACAGGTGGTACACTGGGAGTGGTTCTACAGCCCTGTTATCCCCTTTACCGTACCTTAATCCAAACATTGAATAAAACTACTTGAGTACACAGAGCCAGAAGAAGCTTTTTATAATGAGTGTGCAAGAGACCTGGGGCCACGCGGAGGAAAGGAAACGGAAGAGTCTCCCTGTGCTTCTCTTGCTGGTGGACTTCCAGACAGGCACTGAGCAGGGACCCTCGTGGAATCTCAGGAATCCACTTTTAGAGGCCAGGGAATAGGCAATTGAGGCGTTGGGACGATCACACAGAAAGGAGGAATACAGGAGCAACCTCTCAGGAACTGCAAATACGGGTGGGGAGTCCATTCATTCAACAAAAATTGTTAAGTATTTATTATATGTCAAAAAACACTATGCTTGGGGTTGGTGGATGTAAATAAGAACCACATGTTTATCTTTATGAAGCGACTAAGATTTTAAGTACAGAGATGCAAAAGAACTGACATAGCAAGTAAAAAAGGAACCCTGACCTATGAGTCACAAATTACATCAATTCCCCATACATTAAAAGTTGAGTTCTTCCACAGACAAATCCACGCTATGCTGGGCAGTTTCATTAGAGACATGAACCTCTTCTCATGTTTTTTATGTCAGTCAAATGCTTTCCCCACCTATTCCTTTCTGAGTTCAATTTTAAGAGTTTCCATGATGCAATCATGACCATACTGATCCACGTTATTTTTTGGGTTGTGACAGTGGTTAACAAAGGTGTCTCAGTGGCATTTAGTGCGTAGGGTCATAGACGCCAGGCATCTGGCAAAATTCAGAACAGTCCCACAAATGTGTCTTACCCCCTAATGACTTCTGAATGTTCTAGTCAACATTCATGTAGGTGAAAAAACTGTTCGTAAGTTAAGCCTTAGAATCAAACCTCAAGAATAAACACAAAGGCTTTTTTTGCAGTTTTAATGTATAATCCATTTTCCAGGACAGTCATCACCTTATCGACCAAGTGAAGGCTTTGCTTTATTGGGAAATAAGCAAGAGCTGTTCATGATTATGGAAACTCCGGCCACTTAGGCAAAGTAACTCACCTACATCAGTCCTCATTTAGTTTTTTGATTTCACGGAACAAGTAACTATTTCTTTATGTCTAGCATAGTTTTGGCCATTTACCTATTGAAATGTAAATACATATTACGTTATTTTGAATTTCTTTATCTTATTTATTCTTTATGTTATAGTTAGAGCATTACATTGTTTTTCTTTCTTAAAAATTAAGTATGGAAGTAGGTTGTACTTATATGAATTTCATTTCAGGATACCAAAGGGTATTACAAAATATTTGCTACAAAAAAGGGAAAATGAGGTGTGACACGGTTGAGAACCAGTGTTCTACACGGTGAATTTGGATTTCTTAAAGACTACTGCTTACCTTTTTCAAAGGAACTTTGAAAGCAATGAAACGGGTCCCTGGCATTCGCTGTCCAACTGGCATATAGTCTTTCCACCTATTAATACAAGTTTTTATTAGCCAAATTTTAGGTCAGCCAGTCTCTCTGCATAGAATGAAATCTCCTTGAAAATGAAAAGCGGAACCCAAAAGTAGGTCCTCTCTTCTCTCTACTCTGCATTTCACTGCTCCACCTATTCAACCCCACCTAGTATCAACCTATACTCCCCTTCTTTCTGCTTCCCCATCTCGAAAACAGACAAGGCAACAGAACAGTGCAAAGGGCTCAACAAATAAGACACATCTAAAACCAGAGAGTGTTCTACACGGTGAATTTGGATTTCTTAAAGACTACTGCTTACTTTTTTCAAAGGAACTTTGAAAGCAATGAAACGGGTCCCTGGCATCCGCTGTCCAACTGGGCTGTAGTCTTTCCACCTATTAATACATTTTCTTAATAGCCAAATTTTAGGTCAGCCAGTCTCTCTGCATAAATGAAATCTCCTTGAAAATGAAAAACGGAACCCAAAAGTAGGTCCTCTCCTCTCTACTCTGCATTTCACTGTTCCACCTATTCAACCCCACCTAGTATCAACCTATATTCCCCTTCTTTCTGCTTCCCCATCTCGAAAACAGACAAGGCAACAGAACAGTGCAAAGGGCTCAACAAATAAGACACATCTAAAACCAGAGGCGGCCAGAACTTGTGCATCCCCAATAAAATCTAGCCCAATCTTGAACACTAAGGTGCCATTAATACACACATGCTGACTGAAACAGTTTAACTCTTTCACTTTACACTTTATTTTTAGTCCTAATACAACCAATGCCATCAAATGCAACTGTAGTGAACTTCAAGTTCATATTTTAAAAGAAAATTTGATAGACAAGGGGGCCGTGAACTTCACTTAATAAGGCTAGGGGTAACAGTAAAAGGTAGTATTTGAGCTGCCTTCAGTAGGATTTTATATAGAATTAACTAAGGTTAATTCAGCATATCTTAAGCATAGAAAGTTGGGGCAAAAGTGACACAAGATGGGTCTGAGGAAAGAGAGGGGATTCTAGACCACGCAGAGTCTTACGGGCCATTGGAAAAGAGTTTGTTTTTATTCTTAAAGCAATGCTTTTGTACGATATTTACGAGAACTTTCCAAGCTGTCTATTAAAAAGATGTCTTATGTGAAGAACGGAGTGAACGGAAACAAGAATCAATAAATATATACACTAATTAGGACCTAAAAGCAATACATCAGGCAAGTTCTGTATTAGGATGCTGATGGAGGAGAGAGGGCAGATTGAAAAAGATCTTCAGGACATAAAACGAAGGGGACTTAATGAGCTATGAGATGGCGGAAAGCAAGGTCTCAAGGAATAGAGTTCACTGAAAGCAAAGCCTCAAAATTAATCATTTGAATATACAGAGGGCGAGTTCTCAAATGAGACCTGTTAGAAAGCAACAGCATGCCCTTTGTGATTCCTGGAAACAACACACATTTTTTCAGTGAAAAGTTTGGTTGTACTGGTGGGTTTTTCATTCAACCTTTGCTCTTAGTAATATTTTCTGTGCCAAATAGCGCAGCTTGAGGAATGCTGGGGCCTCCATTTTGGTAAGTAAGGGGTGTCCCCAACACTGACAGTCCCATCTTAAAGGGCAGTCCCTCTCTATTTCACCCGGGGAGCCATGGCCCGCGCCTCGCTTTTATAAGGCCCGCGGAGAAATAAAAAAATCATACCGTCCACGTCAGCTACTGTGAGCAGAGCAGCGAAAGCGTCACAGCCTCCCAGGAAGAGGCGCGCGGGCCACGCGCGGAAGCAGCGCTCAGGCAGCTACCGTGGCCCGGGAGCTGCGAGCGGGACGGGCCCGCACCGGGCCGAGGCGGCTCACCTTTCGGGGGCGTGGCTTCCACCCTTCCTCTCGCCGGAGGGCAGTCCGGAAAAGATGCCTCTCTGGCCCCAGCCGTAGCGGGCAGGATGCCATTGGTTCATCTGAGCCCCAAGACGCCGTCCACCAAGCACCAAGAGCCCCAAAGCCGCCAGTCCGGCTCCCTCTCGGCCAGAACAAGACTTCGGTCCGGAAGAGTTTAGGCAGCAGCACCCACACCACCTCGGCTCCTTCTACTGCGCATGCGGCACCGCCCGTGGTGATGTCGTCCCCGCGCCGGCCGACGGGATGCTGGAGGCCACAGCGCCCTCCTTAGCCGGCGGTGGGTAGCGCAGGTCGATGAGCTTTCATACCCACCAGAATTCAAGTAGTACAGGACATGGGATCAAAGTCAAGTCCCACTCCTCCGTTTCCTTGTGCGGTTCTTCGGACATTTTCCAAGGGCTTAGATTCACATTTGCTGTATATGTATTTAAGTATATAAGTACCTGTTTTTACAGACATGGGTATCCTCTATTTTACATAAAAGCACCATACTATATGAAAGGGTATCTCGCCGCGACCCTCCTTACCCCACAACGACTCAGGAGACACAGAGAGAGGGAGCAGCAGCTCGTGGGTGAGGAAGCGTGTTTTTAAGGAGTAGCGATAAGGGTCCGTTCTGCGATGGTGACTGGATCTTAAGGGGTGGGCGACCATCCCGGTCGGTGGTGATTGGATCTTAAGGAGTGGGGAGTCTTAGCGTGCCAGAATTTGCCTTCACTATATGTATTTCCTAAAATCTATATTAGATGCTGATTTTCCTGGTCAATTTATGCAAACATCCTTTCTATTCTTTCTAAAGGCTGCAAAGTACTCCTGTGATTATAAGTACCACAATTTGCATAACCTGTCCAATATTGATTAACTTTCAATTGTTTTCAATTTTCTGTCCTCCTTAAAGACAGGCTGCAATGTGAGCATCGTTATACATGTGTTCGGGAAGCCTTGTGTGCTTTCCTCGGTTCTTCTCGCCACGACAAAGAACTGAAGGGCAGAGACACAGTAGTGAAGCAGAGTAAAAGTTTTATTTAAAATTACTTAGAGAAAAAAAAATACAGGCGACCTCAGAGAGAGAGAGGAGCACCGTGAAAGGTTGAAAAGAGAGACTTTAAAATTAAAAGGTTATGCACTTAGAAAGTGCGGGCGACCTCAGAGAGAGGAGTGCCTAGTTAGGGGTTTTAGTTGCTTGCTGTCTGTTGCCTAACACATGTATACAACTGTATCTAAATTCCTAGTAGAATTGCTGGAATGAAGAATATGCAAACTTAAAATTTTGCAAGATACTGCTTAACTACTCTCCAAAAATATTGTATCAAAGTACATACCCACTCTTAGTGAAACTTCTTTTGGGTTCCTGTCATGTGCCAGGTATCATGCTAGAGGTGGATAAACATGTGTTTACATTTTTAGAAAATACCAAGAAATAACCAAGAGGTAAGAATGAAGCTTGAGTCTGAAATGTGCACACAGTATCAGGCATAGGTATCTGTACTTGTTAGAAAAATTCTGAATTTTGCCACAGCGAGACAGCAAAGGCAGCATGTCCCACAGTACGTCTGAAGGCAGAGTACTAAATCCTAGATTAAACTGTAGAAAATTATAATAGTGAACTTTTTTACTAATTTCTGAAAGTACCTTTCATACACTGTTAGTATTCTTCACAACCATTTAGAGCTGGGAAAACAAGAGTCAGAAAAGCCAGGGTTACTGAATGAATGAATGAATGAATGAATCGGTAAAAAGATCACTAGCTTTAACATCGGTGGGACAGTCATATTCTGACCACGCTAAAATACACAAGCATTTACAATTTTAATTATAATAATTAAAAGTCAGTCAATATTAGTAAATTGCTATTTGGAAAAAGAAAAGACATAAATTATTAGCACAGCATAGTTTGCAAAGTTACAATTAGGCAATTCAAATTTGGTGCTAAGTATTCTTTCAGAATTCATGAAAAAATACCTTTTTAGAATAAAATCATAAAAAATTAGAATTCATGAAAAAAATCACCAATAGGCATGTAGAGGCCAAAAAGTACAAATGGTACAAATATCTACAGACATGACAATATACAATCTGTGACATAAATCTATCAGAAACTAGAAAAACTGTATTGATCCTGCACTTCCAGTTTGCTAAAAGATAAGTGGAAACAAACTCAGTTATAGCTGACACAAGAAAATCCAGACTGAGGCATAACAGGGTTTCCAGAAAGCATGTGAACTAACAAAGATTGGGTCTTTAGATGGGACTGCATTGAACATGAGGTATAAGAATGCCTTGATAGGTATGTAGTGGAATGGAAAATATAGGAATGAGGGATATCTGGAGCACTGAACCACCAAAAAATTGACACTAACAAAATCTACTGCTATCTGGTAGGGCCCCCAGGTACCAAACCCCGGGGGTTTAAGGGATTTCAGTCTTTAATCAAATCAAAAAGTGACAATGGAGAGAGTAAGGAAGAGCCTCAGGGGTGGATCAGCTTGTTATGTTATACCAAGACAGTCCCAGTTATCCCGAAGAGTACAAAATACAGGAGGTGGGTATGCGGGACAAGACAATATCTAACCATAAAAACAAGTCTTTAGGTCAGGGTAGGGCTTAATGCTAAGTTCCAGAGTGTTAGACCAAAGCTCTTTAGGTTCTGAAGAAACAGATTCAGATTACCCAGAAATAGGCTAGACAGCTTGCTCATGCCAAAATTGTCACTCTTCATTGCCTACGGCACCTCTTGGTATCAGACTTTGAGACCTGGTTCCAAATCAAATCTCGCAAATGGATATTATGCACATACCATCCTTTAAAAATACACCTGTTGATGACAAATAGTGATTTTACAGCATCTTACTATGTTGATGGACAGTGACTGTGAACAGGGATGTGGGGGGGACTTGGTGAAGGGGGGAGTCTAGTAAACATAATGTCCTTCATGTAATTGTAGATTAATGATACCAAAATAAAAAAAATTTTTTTTAAATACACCTGTTGAAAAGGATTAAAGGTGGTGGTGTCAGAGGTGAGACAGAGGCTTCCTCCTAAAACCGCATATAATATGAAAATATAATTAACACAACTAATTCTGAAAGAGCAACAGGAAAGAGGACTGCACCAGACTGTATACTCCTGGAAAAAAGAGCAGATCTCACAGAACAGGGTAATGTAACAAAGCTGTGGCCTGGTGGGACCCAACCTTCCCCTACCCCAGCTCACCAGCAGGAAGAAGAGAATCAGAAGGAGTGGGGAGGGAGTGGAAGCCTGGGACTGATGAGTTCCTAACTCTGGCGATCTGCCCTGGAAGCACAAACCTACATTTCATGGTGCTTGCATGATACTCTTGTGATTATGGGGTTGGAAAGGTAGGACAGGCAGAATTCCTGGAGAGACAGAGATTCCAGCTACTTGTGGAAAGCAGGGATCCATATCCCGATGCTCTTGGACAAAAGAAAGTTGGACAGTCTGAGAAACATCCTAACAAGGAAGCCCTTAGCAAGAGGGCTGCTAAAGGGGCAAGGGTTGCACAGAGCTTACTGCTCATGAGAAAGGACAGGTAGACAAAATTATCTGGGTGCACTCTTCCCAGCAGGTTGGGAGCTTTCAAGATCTTCAGATACTCCACCTCCCTGGCTGCCTACACACCTCAAAGGACCCCCCTCCGTGATACGCAGCCTACTGCGCCTTTTTCCTGGCCAGCCCCAGCTGGCTTGCAAACCAGCAAACCCTACCCTGGCATTAGGCCAGCCAGAGGGAAGATCTGTCTACAGAAACTGCAAATGCAAAGCATAGAGGCTTATACCTGCATGCTCAGCCCACTGGTTCAGGCAGTGGAGATAGGCATAGTGGCCAGGAAGCATGAAACAGCTCTTTCCTCCCCCCAGTCACCAATACCACTCCCCTGC